ATACATACTAGCATGGTAGTATCATTGACTCAACTAATTAATCTGTTGCTTGATCGAGTTATGCAACCTAAGTTTTTGGTCCTAACCTAGGTTAGGCTGTAGCCGAACGATGCACTTATAGGCTTCCACTACTCCATGCATATTTTGGCCATGTAGTATATGTTCATGTACTGACCATGCATACTAATAGCCGAATACTAGCTAGTAACAAATTCGATTGGTCTCGCACCATTTCTAGCATGGCCAACTAATACCACCGACAGATCATAGATCAAACTAAAGATATCTCAATGTACGAAAGAAGAAAGTGAAATTTCGGTTAGAACATCCGATCCAGTGCAGAAAATAAACTCTATACGCAGCGGATAGTTGTTAGATAAAAAAAGGTTTATTCTAGATTACCTCGTCGTTAAGAGATGGGCTGGGAGAGTCAGAATCAAGGCTAGGTCCAGGAGTTTCAGTAGGAGGTGCAGGTGGACTCATCAACTCAGGAGCAGGAGCTGGTGAAGCTACATTATTGTGCTTAATCTTCCCCTTCTAATTACTCTTTCTGGGTGCAGGAGCAGAAACAGCGCCTGTCTCTGGAGTTGGTGCTGGTGGAGATTGTAAGGGTGTAGCCGCGGGAGGAGAGCTCACGGGCACTGTAGCTGGTGCCGTAGCTGGCGGTGTTGAAGCTGGAGCTGAAGTAGGAGGAGTAGAAACTGCTGCAGTGGGTGGGGAAGTTGCAGGAGAATTCGGAGTTTTGGGCTTTGAAGGAGAGGTGGCAATAGAAGGTGATGCAGCTGGTAGTGTACTACTAGATAAAGAAGCTGCTGGAGCTTTGGCTGGTGCAACTGAAGGAGATTGACGTGTGACAGTGGCCATTACAAGGCACATGAACGCCATTGCAAATGCGAGCTTCCGTTCCGATCCATTGACACCAATCAAGAAAAATGTGCAAAACTGGAAAATGGCTTGTAGTAAAGAATGGAGTGTACAATATTGTTTGAGTGAAGACGTATAAATAGGCATGTTAAGATGCTAAGAGAAAAAAATAATATTTAAGTTAGGTACACCAGCGGAATATTTTATTATCACGACCATTGTAATCTAATTGGAGTATGTGATAACAAATTAGTTTATTTTATTTTATTATATTACTTATTAATGATTATTATATTACAATAAGAGGTACGTAATTTAGCACACCAATAACATAAAATAATTTTCCGCGTTATTAGATCATTTATAATAAGAAAATATAATAGTAGGTGATCACTCATAAAAGTAAGAAATTTTTACGAAATAACAGTAGATTAAATTTGTTATTACATTATTAAAGTTTACCTTATAAATGATTCGAGTAATATTTATTATTATTATTATTAACTTAAACTGAAAAAAGTGCACACCGGCTAGAAAGCGTTGGACATAGCAGACCAGAATTAGTCTGTAGAGTGACGATTAAACAGACTGGACTCTTAAAAATGTGGGCCCAATTTCATTGTAAATAGGCTTTGGGCTCACCACGTCATAGATATTATCCATTAAAACATGGATTGGATAATAAACTTTTTAAAAATGGGTTGAGTATGGATAAAAATCATATTATCCACTTAGAAAATGGTTAATCAAATGAATAATCAATAGATAACTAATGTGTTTAACTTTTATATTTGTAAAGTCTCAAATTAAGGGTTCTTCAAGTTTGGGAGACTAGGAATTCCCCCATAAGTGATCATATATAATATGGATATCCATATTATCCGTCGGAGAACCCGTTTTTTATCCGTCTCAGATACGGGTCGAGTCGGATAATTTATCCGTTTTTGAATTACCCATTTTCGGCCCGCGAATATCCGACCCGACTGTTTGCCACCCCTATCATAGTCATACGTTACGCCTACTCGGTGGATTTTGTTTGCTGGAAAATGGTTAGCCATGGGACCACTTGGATGCCGAGTAAATCAGGTTCATACACGAACGAATCTGGTGATGATTGTAAACTGCGAGGCAAATGTATCCGCCAATTAGCCCAATTCAAACTCCCGAAAACTGTTGGGCCTACACGCCAGTTAGCCCATACTCTTATATCATCCTTACCCTCCAAAAGCTATTGAGCTCGTTGTACACAATATTTGATTAAGGCCCAAATAGGCTCTTTGTATGTATAGGCTCCCCATGTCTGCACAGATTATATGTTCTTATTAGGCTGCCGCGATAATATGTAAAAGCACACAAAATTAAAACCTTATGCAAGTGTTTGACAAAATTCTCTAAAACTTGGTTACTTGTTGGTGAACATGCTCCCAAACAGCTCACTTAACTAAGCATTAATATCGTAGTAGTAGTTAAAAGGGAGAAAACCATCCAACGCTGCCCATTAATCTCATTCCATGGACCTACATTTTGCCTCAATACGTTTGACCTTTTCCTTTTTGGTATCTTATGCTGATGCATCCAGCATACTCGTTAAAACTTAACAAGAGATGGAGATGGCAACTACAACGCAAGATGGTCAATTTTGTACAACATCCATTATTCCAAGCAATTGAACTTAGCTTGCTGCTACACTATCTAGTACTAGTAATAATCAAACGACAATAACATGACGAATATGGCGAAGCAGCACCGGAATAACAACATCCGGTGAGCTGAGTTGCGGCAGATGGCCTTCCGTGGACATCACCTCCACGATAGATTCGCCACCGAGGTGCTGGTGGAGGTACTCGGACACCACCACAGGCACGGCCAGGTCCTTCATGCTCTGAATTATGTGGCATGGGACAGTTACACGAGCCAACAAATGCCTTAAATCACTTAGGAATATGATTTGTAACACACTTAGTGCTATGTCTGGCCTCATGTTGAATAATGTCCTGCTGAATTCCTGAATTGCCACAGAATCCATGTCTCCTCCTACAACTAAGGGTGCAAATCCTGAACACCATGCTTTGTAATTTGATCTCATTGCTTCGAACAATTGATCCAGATCTTCCTGTTCAAATCCTCCGTAGTAGTCCGAGTCATTCAGATACCTGAATAGAAATTAGAAAATTTTAATTCAGATACCTGAATAGAAATTAGAAGTTTTTAATATCCAAAATTGAATTTTTCCTTGAAAAAATAAAATAAAGTGAACAGATCAAAACAATATTTTGCAATAGAAAACAAAGACATTGGGAAAAAGAAAGTGCAGCTGCAGACCCTGCGTAAACAGCACTTGTTTGATTACCAAATTAGTAAATGATGCNTCTCATTTTGTTTTGTATTTTGCTATTTCTAGCCCCTTACTATTTTAAGTTGTGTCATTATTTCCAGCAAGATTGACTCTATTTTTATAGTGTCGTATTTTTAGATATTTGTTATTGCACACACATATCGCCATTTACACTCATGTCTAATTACCTTGTTGTTGCTACTATCTGTTTATTTCTTCATTTTCACTTCTCTTCAGCCGAGGGTTTTTCGGAAATAACCTTTCTACCGTAAACTTTACCTTCTCTAAATCACACTTGTGGGACTTCACTGGGCTTGTTGTTGTTCCATCTGTATCATTTTATGTAAACATATTTGATTGGACACGATTTTTTATTTTTTTAAAATTTTTTGGAACTAGTGATCTTAAAGAATATGACATTCTATGACTATAAACTCGTGATATTAAGGATAAAATGAGAATAACTAATACGGCCGAATGAAAAAAATATTAATCCACATTCGATATTATACCAAATTTATAAATACATGATAATTATTTTTGCATAAACTTCTATTACTAAGATAGTTAATTATGTATTCTTACTTATATTCGCAACATACTTTGGCCTACACATAGGAGTTTACACACAAAATGAAGGAAATAAACAGAAGTATGTCAACAGTAAATAGTACTCCAGTTTAAAATGTAAGCGGAAATTAAGAGAGAAATGAAACCTTGGAGAGGCAGAGACAGTGACAAGTTTGGTGAAAAGATCAGGACGAGCGATGGAAGCAATGACGCCAATCATGGCAGAAACAGAGTGGCCAACGTAAATGCAACCAGGAATTTTGAGGTCCTCTAAAATAGCAATCACATCATAAGCATAGCCTTCTAGACTAGAATATCGCTCGAAGTCAAAGTAGTCAGGATTAGTAGTTCCAGCACCCATATTGTCAAACAATATGATCTTATAATCGTCAACCAAGTGAGGAACCAAGTGTTTCCACACCGACTGGTCTGTTCCGAACCCATGGGCTAACACTACGGTTTGCTCGCCTGACCCAAGGATCTTCACGTTGTGTGCTTCTTCAACTATACCCATATTTAACAACGAACTAATTTGTTTTAGCAGCCACCGTTATAAGTAGCAGGAATATTTATGTGGGGGCGAGGGTGTGAGACTTGAGAGTCAGTTTGTGTGAGATTTTTTAAACCTTATTTTTTGGTGAATTTATATCCTTACGGCAACAACAACAACAACTTATGTGGTAAGCTGCTTGCATCGTACCTTTTCGATTTGACTTGTAAAATTATAATGAGTTATTATTATTATTGTTATAATTGTATAAATTTTGATATTAAATTTATGCAGAGCAGATGCAACTTTATTTAATTGGTTAAATTATGCTAAATATTTTTTATACAAAACATAATTATATAGGAAATCACAAAATATAAAAAATATTAAATTTTAAAATTTATAATTTTAAAAATATAATTCGTTTGGTAATAAAAATGTTAAAAGTTAAACTATTTAATAAATTAAATCCTAAATTCATTTGTGTTGATATGATACAAATAGAGTAATAATATCTTATAGTAATAAATTAAATTATAGTGATGGTGCAATTTTTCGCATTATTGCTATGTTATTATAAAATAGAGATCGTAACGTAAAGATAAGTATAGAGAAACTGATATATTATTAAATTTCAAATTGATGTACATAATGAACTGAAATCTCCTCTATTTATAGAAGAAAAGAAGTTATTGTGTAAGCTTTATAGAAAAAAAGAAATTGTTGTGCAAGCTGCTACTGCAAGCTGCTGTATAAGCTGCTATTGTATCATATATAGATAATTTTCTATCGGGGTAATATTTATCCATAACGGAGTACCGAAAGGATAAGCTTCTTCAAGGACCTTATTTCCAATAGAGTACTAAATAGATAAATATATTTACGGCGGAGTCCTATATGGATAAGGTTGTTCAGAAAACTTATTTACAACGAATACTAAATAAACATTCATAATATAATATATTTATAACATATACTCCCTCTGTTTCAATTTATGTGAATCTATTTTTTTTTAATCCGTGCCAAAAAGAATGACTCCTTTTCATATTTAGAAATAATTTATCTTTATACAATGATTTATAGTCACACAAAATATATGTGCCTTATTTTATACCATAAATTCAAAAGTCTTCTCTCTTTTATTAAATTTCGTATCCAGTCAAATAAACTCACGTAAATTAATACGGAGGGAGTATAATATATTAAGATCTTTTTAGGTACGTTGGGCCTCTGTCTGGAGAATGAGAGCAGAGATGACCACAACCGCATGTTTTCGGAGGGTTATCTATTCTTTCCTGATAAGATTTTCAGCATTTGACGGCTTTCTTTGTAATTTTATGTAACTCAATATGCAGCTATTTATTAGTTAAAGATTCTGATGCAAAAGTGGCAAAGTAGTTTGTGAATCATTTTTACTCATGGGTTGTATTAGCTTCTATTCATTTTAAAACTCACCTTAAACTTAGCTCACACAAAGGGAGATCAAATAGCTTGACTGTTTTTCAAAAGATGGAGTAAATAACAGGGAAAATATTTAGTATGACTTTCAAAGAGAAAATTTGAGAAATGTTTACTAATTCATTTTTAATGACGTGTACAAGTCACCTATAGGAACTTTGTAATAAAGTGTTTAAGTAATTTGTTAGTAATTTCAATTATGAAAATGAAATTCTCCTTACAATTTTTATTTTCCAAGGTGTTAATGCCTTGTTCAAATTATTTTCGTGTTGAAAAGGAATTTTAACAGATTTAAATTAGTTTGACTAATTACAACCCATTATCAAACCTTCTTTTCTTTAGCATTTTCTTTGTGTCAGACATATTTTATGTTGGAAAATCTCATTTAATGAAGTTTGTGCTAGTTCTTTAATTCAAATAATGACCCAAGTTTTGTTGAAGTGTACTGGGTGAATGATGTATAAATATCAGTATCCGTTAGAGGGTTAATCTAAGGTAGTTGTTCTTTTTCCTATCAAAATTTTCCATTAAAAGCACTGATAACTACTTTGTACTGTGGAAAGAAAAGTGAAAGCTTAACAATTAATGGTTGGTAACGATAGGCTGTCTACTAGCTTTTCTATATAGAAAAATAATTTATGATGTCCACATCAAATATAATGTTACGTAAGAGGGAATATAATCAACCAAAGCATTTTTTTTTTCTAGTTGCTCATCAAGCTTAATTTAATTAGGAAAAAAAATTAAGTGTTATGCAGTGACAACATAAAAATATTTTTACAATAAAATCTTGGGTTAGTTATATTAAACACTCGTATAATATGGCTCTATTTTGAATATATCTGTATGTATTTTAAAATCGAACTCTTATACCCCATATATTATGAAAATCGCACACATATATGCACCCCTAAAGATATATCTATTACTAAGTTATATTAAAATATAATTACTATAACAAAAATTAAATTAATTTTTTTCTCATTTTCATTTTAGTTTGTTTATTTATTCTTTCGCTTCAAAATTATCTTATATTTACTTTTCATTTGTTTCATTATATAATAGGTTTTAATGTTTTAAAAAATAAGAATAAGAATGTTATATTTAAGAGTTTCAAAAGATAAATGTATTTTTTTAATTATGTAAAGTTCTAGTCATCTCATTAAGCAATTTGTATTAATTTTTTATTTAAGGTTTCAGAAGATACATATTTCAAAACAGTTTCATACTCTTTTAAATTTCCTAAAAAATAATACATAAAATCTTTTTATGTATAGTTTTAATTTGTCTTGTATAAATATAGGATATACCTCATAGGGGGTGTAAGCGTAGAATTCATGTAGTGTAGGGAGTATAAAGTATGAGTGTTTGATTTAAAATACAAGGGATGTATCCGAAATTGAGTCATATTATAGAGGTGTTTAAAATATTTTAATCCTAAAATCTTTTATAAAAAAAAACAAATATATTTTTGTATAAAATTAATTAATAATATGATAAAAATAATAACTAACTTACCATATATAAGCTACACTAACCGTATAAAAATCTTTATATTACCCAGGAATATGACTTAGAGCCCATTTGGATTAGCTGATTGTAAATAATTGATAAACTTGAAGTGCTGAAAAGTTTTTTAAAGTGTTGAAACTGATTTCTTAAAATAAGCATTTATGTATTTTGATAGAAGTGCTGAAACTGACAATAAGCAGTTGATGTGTTTGATAAAAAAGTGTTGATAAGCTATTCTTTTGTTTAGATAACTAAAATACCCTTTCATTTTTGTCAAAAGATTATAAATTAAAAAAAAAGTTGTAAAGAAAAGAATTAACAACGAATATGGAATGAGGAGAAAGTCAAAAAATTAATTTTGGAAAAAGTATTTTGTGAATTAGAAAATATTATTAAGGATAAACTAATAAAATTGTCGGTCAAACTAAAAATGCTTATAAGCTGAAAAACCATAAGCTGGAGGTGACCGGCTTATGACTGATTTTATCTTATAACTTATAAACACTTTGAGTGTTTACCAAACTCGTAAATAAGCCAAAAAAGTACTTATAAACTATTTTGGTAACCAGATTATAAGCTTAACCAAACACCCTATTAAATTTCTAAAATGGACAGGAGGGGAGAAAGAAAGACAGAGAATGCCCTATTAAATTCCTAAAATCGACAGAAGGAGAAAGAAAGACAGAGAATGGACCCGCAAGCACCTAACGTTGCAAGTTGGTCGTGACTTGTGGTCCGTCGGCGTATTATTGGGGCTAAACTGCTGAGAATGAATCACTTGGCCGCATGCTATGTGGTGTTTTCTACTTTATTATACAGCATTTAAGTTGGTGGAAATAATCCGAGAAATTGTTGAGAGAACATTGACAGAAAAACAGCGAATTCTGTTCCTGTGCTAACTAGTATGTACAAATGTTCTCTGCAATTCTCCATTCCATCTCTTTTCACATATAAAATAAGTTAGGAATACTCTTATTGATAATAGTACAAAACCTATTTTAATTAGAAATAAGAAAATCTATTCCTATATATAAATCCTATTTAGGCAAGAATTAAATAAACTAACAAATACTAAATCTAAACAATTTCGATTTTCTACTAATTTAAATTATTTTCAATAAATTATACAAGAATTGAATGATTTACTTTTATTGCAAATGTTAATTTGCTTTTGCTTTCGTTATATCTTGATGGCAAATAACTAAATTATCTCTTCCTTCACATCTAGTTTGATGAGGTCAAACCGGGGACGGCTTAACATAGTTAGAGGGAAAGCTAAATTTCATAAGAAGCATTAAAAAGATTCGATAAAATTCATACTTATTTTTATTTACTGTCCATTCTTTTAGCTTCTTGAGGTGCAAAATGAAATCGTAGCATATCGTAAGTATTTACGGTTGATATGTATATTTAATTTGCAGTTTATTCTTATAGACCATTGAGGCAATTCATGTTAAAACTGAAAAATAAAAGCATAACAAACAAAAAAAATCCATGCGGAGGAGGAGAATCAAAATAGAAGGGAGATAAACGTATTAATTAGTGAGAGATAAAAATTTATTATAATTTGTTCATTCCTTGTATTCTAATCTTAATTCAATACTACATTTTTTCTATATTAGATGACATCAGCAGACAAAACTTTACCTTTTTTAATGATTTGAATTATAATATAGATTGATACAGTTAGGGGTGTAGTCGGGTTGGTTCGTATTTTTCAATTATCAAATCAAACTAATTGTGTCAGGTTATTAAATCTAAAGACCAAACCAATAAAAGTCAGGTTTTAATCTCAGTTTTTCTAGAGTTTTTCGGATTTTCGGATTTTTCGGATTTTTTTTCATAAAGTCTTCATAGCACAAAACATAGAATTTGTGTTCCAAATATTTCTTTAATTCTAGTAAGACAGAACAATATAAGGTGTTTTTCAATAAAATAACATAAATATGAGATGAGTCATGGCATTGTACTAAAATATTTAACAATAAATATAATAAAATTGCATAAAATATATTATTAATAAGCCATAATGAAAACAACATAATTTAAAATTACTAAGTTGCTAAAATAAGTACGACTAATAAGTACTACTATTATTTACTTAACTAAACACTAAAAGAAAAATAAGTTATACATTTTATCTAAACCATGAAAAAACTAAAAATAGAT